AACATGAAAAATGTGAAAGCATATTTGTGTCTTTAGCTGATAATAAGAGATGCAGAGTGTTGATTCTGGTGACATATGCCTGATCTTTTTTGTGGTTTTGTATTTATTGTGAAAAATGTGAGAAGTGTCCCTAATCCATATCATATTGCTTGTTATTTATTGTTGTCTTAGAGGGATGTGGGTTAGAACATACATGGGGAAATGGATGTATGAAAATCCCAAACAAATCTCTTATGTTGTTTAAAGCTAAGAGGTGAATAACCCCATGCTTGTCATGAAAAACTTTTTTTTTGAAACGGTGAATGTTGTGTGTGTTGATATGACTGCTTTGTGGCATAACATACTATCACACGCATGCAATAAAAGTTTAGACATTAACATAGAAGTAGTTATCTTGGCAAGGACTTTGTGACACCTATGTTATTTATTAATTTTTTTAATGATTTTTATTATTTTTTACGAATTTGTTATGATTTTATTATTAATTAAAACATTTCAAAAGCTACAAGGTTATATTTGTCCAAACACACATAAATAGTCTTATTAGGGGAATTTAAAAATGTAGTCCTATTTGTGATAATTTGCCACTTTTTAGTCATATTTAGTGAATTGACTCTAAAAAGAAGAGAGAAATAATATGAGCCATGAATTATTTGATATAAAAGGAAAATAAAGTTTAATTTTGGTCGAATATTATTACTCTTTCCGTCCCACTTAAATGTTCTCACACGATTTATGATATTTAGTTGAATATACAGTTATATGATTGCTATTAATAATAAAATTATTTTTAGTAAAAAAAATTATATATTTAGAAAACACATTAAAAAGTCTACAAAATCAAAAAAACAAATTCAAATTTAATAAAGGTCGATATATAAAGTAAACCATTAAAAAATGAGTTAATTGTCAAAATAGGACTAAAAGCTGGTCACTTCGCACAAATAGGAGAAAAAAGTAAACTATGTTTTGATGGGACTAATTATGTGTGTGTTAGACAAATATACATTTGTTGCTATTGAAATATTTTAATTCATTATAAAATACTAATAAAAAATAATAAAAATTCATTAAAAACACTAAAAAATTAATAAAAATATTTTCATAATAATAATTAATTTTTTTAAAAACAATTTTTTAAATAAAAAACGCAAAAAAAAATCACCGCCGCCTCTACCGCCACAACACCACCACCTCCAGTCACCAGGTGAAAAAAATGCCACATCCATTACAAATGCCATATTTATGGCAGATTCAATGAAAATTTTGAAATTCTAAAAGAGTAATATGCCATTTTTTTGGCATTTTCAGAAAAATGGTAGATTTTAGAAAAAATGACATTTTTTACTCCGTCGGAGGTGGTGGTGCAGGGAGGCAATACAAACGGTGGGAAAGGAATCCATACTTTTTAAATTTTTTATGGAGTTTTACAATTTTTTATTAAGTTTTTATAAAAAAATTTAAAAATTAATAAAATAATTATTTTTAAAAAAAAAATCTAAAAAGCGCTACAAAAAAATCACCTCTGCCTCTGCCGCCCCAGTACCACCATCTCCGGTCACCGGGGAAAAAAATCCACATTCATTGGGAATGCCATATTTACGGCAGATTCAATGAAAATTTTGGCATTCTCAAAGAGTAATATTCCATTTTTTTGGTATTTTCAGAAAAAATGACATTTTTTACACCGGTCAAAGGTGGTGGTGCAAGGAGGCAGTATAAGTGGTGGGAAAGGCATCCATAATTTTATTTTTTTATTTTATAGATTTTTACTATTTTTTATTAATTTTTAAAATTTTAAAAAAATAATTTTTTTTTAATTTTCTATTTTATAAATATTTTTTAATTTTTTATTATTTATTTAAGATTTTTTATTATCTTTTACGAATTTATATGAATTAAAACATTTAATTATGACTTTTGACCGCCTTTTACTCATATTTAAAGAAGAGGTAAGAATGAAATGAAAAAATAGACATATTTCCAATTTGATTAATATAGACCTATTTTGAAATAAAAATATAACAACTCCTATTTTGAGTTTTTGTAATAGTTTTAGTCCTTGGACTAATTTGCCTTTAAAATATGAATCATGACACACTAACAGATTCAAATGAAGATCTTGGTGATCTCGTAAGTGACAATGCTCCATCCAACCACTACACTAAAGTTGATGACCTCCCTGTGGGATTTGATGAATCATGGAGGGGTTGTACAACTTCCAGTCGCTTCTCTGCAGATGGTGAATTCGAGGTTGGGCAAGAGTTTGATGATAAGAAACAACTGATTAACATGATGTGGATGTGTGGCGTGGCCTGGATGTTCAGGTAGATAGGTGTCGCGAGCACCTATGCATTATATTCCACATGCAGGTGGATGATAGGATTCTACATTACGTTCGATTAGTCGGGTTTTACGGTGTCCACAGATTAGTTTCGACTCTGCATATAGATAGAGCATTACTTACCGTTCTACTTGAGCGTTGGAGACAGGAGACTCACACTTTCCATTTACAGGTGGGTGAGGTCACTATCACTTTGGGAGATGTGGCTGTATTGGCAGGTCTACCCATCGAGGGTCGGGCAGTTACTGGGACTGCGTGTAGAGTGTGGGTTGATTTGGTACATAGATTGTTGGGAGTACGGCCACACGCTGGGACAGATATTCGGGGGTCCGCGTTGAGGATGACTTGGTTAAGACATCACTTTACTGATTTACCTGTTGATGCTGATGACGCTGTTATGCAGCAGTACGCCGGAGCCTACATTTTGATGCTTATGGGAGCATCCTCATTTGCAGACATGAGCGGTAATGAGGTGCAAGTCTTGTATTTACCCATTCTAGAGACTTTTGATGTAGCAGCGCTTTATAGCTGGGGTAGTGCGACTTTAGCATACCTATATCGGCAGTTATGTCGAGGTTGCCATTGTGACAGTGGAGAGATGAGTGGTTTTTTATTGCTCGTACAACTATGGTCATGGGAGCACATTCATATCGGAAGACCTGTCATACTGCAATATCATGGAGTAGATGGTGGTCCGCTTGATGATGCTATGGATCAGCACGATGCATCCGTACTTGGGCCACATCATGTCCATGGCGAGGACCCTTTGGGCCGTAGGTACGTTTATGATTTTTCTTTTTGAAATTTATGTATGACGTACGTGAATCCCTTTTATATTCTTATGCATTACTGTGTGTCAGATGGCTATTTGCTCACGTCACACACATGTCATCCGCCACTGGATTAGGGTACTACCGAGATGCTTTAGATCGCATGTGTGATGATCAGGTTTATCTTGTATATCATTAGATGTAAGTACTTTGTTTTACGTTTTTATAAACTATGATGTAACACTGTTTTGTTTTATAGATGATGTGGATGTCGTACACTCATGAGATTCTTGGACTGTTGCCTCCTATTGGCCGAGAGCACACTGAGATATGGCGAGCACGTGTGCCCTTGATATGTTTTGATGTAGTAGAGCATCATTTTCCTGATCGCGTACTACGACATTTCGGGTTGCAGCAGGTTATTCCTGAACCTTGTGATACATCTGTGGACTTACACAAGATTGACAGACGAGGGAAGCACACTGAAGATCGGGGGATGCGTCATATTCAATATATCACTGTGTGGGATGAGAGAGCGACGTATATAGTGCACGGGACCCCATCCTTAGTCCCTACAGCCCCTGCCCACTGTACCAGCCTAGCTCGGTCGCTCTTCATATGACGGTAAACAATAGTCACTAAAATAACTTTATTTAAATATTCATTTGTCTTTCACTAATAACCATGTTTGTATTACAGACACGGGCTTTGCGTAGCATCCATGACAGAGCGACTGCTGTACTTGATGAGGCAGTAGATGTACAGGGATACCATGAGGTTTGTTCGGGCATTGTTGCACTGTGCGTTGATGTATTGGGCCGAGTAGATTATGGATATATGGCCGACTCTCAATATTCTACCGCATCCGCATCCACAGAAGGGTCTTCTCAGGCAGTCCGACGTGATAGAGTTGTTCTTCAGCCTCGTAACCAGCGCAGGCGCCCCCGAGCAAAACCACAACCACATGAACTTCATGATGATGATGATCACGTTGACTTATGATCTTTGTATTATTATTGTGTGAGAGTTGTAACATGCACTGGCAGATCAAATCATTTTGTGAAACACCGGATTTATTATAACTTTTATGTCTTATTTCAAGTGTCGTGATGCAATGAGTTTCATTGATTCGTTTTGTGTTTCAGATGTATTTTGTCTTAGTAAATCATATGTTTGGTTGTTTGTTTGAGTAGAATGGACTCTGATAAGCAGATTTTCTGGTAACTACAGGTTCATTTGTGTAATTAATAGTTCAGCAGCTTGCTAAACACAAGAGCCGCCACTTGAAGTGGCGTCTTTTGTATACGTATAGAAGAACCGCCACTACAAGTGGCTGCTTTTGTATAGCACGCTGAAGAGCCGCCACTTCAAGTGGCGGCTTTGCTTAAACATGATTAAGCCCAACAATATTTTTGAAATTATTTTTGAACAGACAGTATTTCAGTAATTATTTATTCAATTAACATTGTTCCGAGAAAAAAAGGACACTTCAAATATAATACTCCAACATTTTTGACAAACCAGGCTGAAAACTGAAGTGACGTTGGGAGAAGGGAAGCGATACACAAGAAACACCGGAGATGCCGTGGAACCGTGCTTCGAACTCAAGTCAGTGATTCAGTAGGAACAGGGCAACTTCCTTTCTCCATTGGAGTTGCTGAAAGAAACGTATCGACTGCTACGGATTAGATACAAATTACTCCCTAGTTATATTTATACACAGAAAGCTCTCAATACTCAATAGATGGTACAGAGGAACGTATAATCTGAAGAAGAATAGAACCAGACAACATAGACTTTAGCCATGGATCGAATAGAGCTGATAAAGGACCTACCTTTCCGGGTCGGGTTCACTGGCCATAGCGGTCACCTTACAATCGAGCCTCTCCCACCCGTCGAACGGCCCAAGCCTCTCGATTCGCTCCCCTTCGTTCTTGTTAGTATTTTTGTGTTCTACCTGGCTCCGCATTTCTTATCTCATGAATTAACGTATACTCGGTGCTTTTCAGAACGTTTTTTATTAGCAAATGCCTCACGGATAACATGAGTTTTAACGAAGTTCGATGTCTTAAGATATGGGAGTAATGCCATAGCTCATTACTTGTTTTCTGAAATTGCCACTGTATACTAAGAACTTGGATTGTGGTCTTATTCAGTAGACAAAAATATGCATGTTACTGGTGTGTTCTTTTTTATTGATTGCTCGTTTTTTTCAGTCCACCAAAAACACTACTCTTCAGTTCTAATTTTGTGAACCACCGTGAATTAAGATTTAGAGCCCGTTAGGTAAAGGTCATTCAGCTGATACGGCTGAAACGCTTATTTTTTTTTGAAATGAAAAGCTGCTGGTTATATGCATTTCAGCCAAATAAGTATGTTAAAAGCCACCGTTCTTTTTATTCCAAATTTCCGTTTATTCTAAGCAGAATTTGTAGAATACTCTTCATTTGGCTACCAAACAGGCTCTTAGTCAGCTGTGAACGGGTGTGGCATCACTTCTCTCTTTTTGCTTTTATTTTCACACTTCAGTGGGGGTCTTATTTGGATTCTTGCACTCTGTTTCCCTTCATCTATTGCCAACCCTCAGTACTGGCTCAATAAAGCATGGAATTCATCAATTCATGAATTCATGAATTAATGTAACTAATTATTTTCTTTTCCTATTTTATTCCCCCCATTTTCTTGGGTCTTCTTTTGCAGCCACAATTTGATTTGGCATGTAACATGCTACTTTAGGCTTAGGTGAATGTTGGTATTAGTATATTATCAGTTACAACGAGCTGTCATTACGTCATTACTGCTTTAGTAATGGATACATAATTTATGGCAGATTAAATTTTTCTTCATGGCTCCCATTTTTGTTATGTAACATGCCTTTTACCTTCTTGGTTCATATTTTCGTATAGTACTTGTACAGTTGTACTAAATGTAGGTTCATCTTAATGTTATTGTGAACTAAATTTTAGTTCATTAACTATTTTGGCTCTACTCATTCTCTGTTTACCCCCACACAACTCCTCAAAATGGTGATGTCTTGCATGCAAAAAGAAAATATCTCATGAATGCTTTCAATGCTGAAATGAGAAAATATCTCATGAATGCTTTCAATGCTCATGCTACACTTGGCAGAAAATATCTGCATGCAGACCCTTTATGTTCTGTTGCATGAATGCATGACGGCATTAAGATCTGAGAACTATTAAGCTGTTGTAACCTTTACTGTTTACCTTATTAGTTACATGATTCTCATTTCAGCCTCCTGCATTCCCAGAGGAAACTCCTGAAACAATAAAACAATATATAAAGGATACATATCTCATGCCTGAGTTGGATACTGATGAGTTCTCACCTGAAAAAGTTGGAAGACAGTGGGAATTTGACTGGTTTGACAGAGCTAAAATCCTTCCAGAGCCTTCATTACCACGGACTGTTATTGTTCCAAAATGGGAATTACCTTTCAGACGTCCAAAGAACCCACCAGAAGGAAGATGGGAGCCAAAGTCAGTAGAGGTATGCAAAAGTACATTATTTGTTGTTATTCTTTTCTTCTTTCATGATATATTAGTTTCTTACTGATGTGATGAATTGCACATGCATCTTTGCAGTTATGATGTTTATTTTATCTTAGTAAAACAACATAAAATCTTTGAGATCTTACATTTTCTTTCCTGCTAATAGTTTGGTGGTTTTTCATCTGACAGTTCTCAATTATGTTTCTTATGATGATCTAGATAGATGTATCCGAACTCACAGCAGGAGCTGAGGATTTGTCAGCTTTGCCTCAAATTACTGGACCTGCCAAAGATTTTGTCAGAGGAAGCATCAACAACCGACCTTTTCGTCCTGGAGGGTTGGATGGGTCTTTGGGGAGGACATTTCCTGTTGACGCTTCCAGTGGAAAATGGGTGAGAGAGGTGCTTGATGGCGGTCCTGCCCAAACCATCCCTCCAGGCTTCAAACAAGGACTCAATCTTGGTGATCTCAAGGTACTTCACCTGTGTTTACTGTAAATAGTTTGATGATGCAATCCAGTTATATACTATGACAACTAAGTGATACATTCATGAAGGCACATTCATCTTCATGGAATGTTTATGAGGATCAGATTGAAGTCAAGAGCAAACCACAAGCCAAACTGGTTCGTTTTAAACTTGTCTTTCATTTATGAAGTAGATAAGATTAATATGCATATTTCATTTATTCATTTTTATGCTAGTGGGATTTCTTTTAAGCATGTCAAGCTTGGCTTGGATTCATACGGGGTGGAGTAAATAGTTTTACTAGCTCACAATACTAAGGCATGAACCTTTTTTGGTTCCATGCAGAACGAATTATCTGTGCAGTTTGATGACTTATTTAAGAAAGCCTGGGAAGAAGACATCACAGAATATCTTGAAGATGGTCTGTATTACCTTCGTGCTTATATTGTGGTTCGATGCGCTTGCATGAGTGAAGTATGATTTAATGAAGACAGATCTCTTAATCAGTTTTTTCAGCTGAACTTGAATCTTGTCTGATGGATCATCTTGACCATGTTTAATTAGGCAATACCTCCTAGGCTCCTATATCCGTATAGCATGGCCCTATTTGGCAGTTGGCGGATAGTGTATCTGAATTTGGAATATGCTAATAATTTGGAAGTGGCTATAGTACTAAGTGATGTACTATATGATGTTTTGTGTATAAGAAGTTTTGTCGATGAATTACACAAAATTGAGTATTTACTTGCAAGTGCAAAAGTGACACATTACATACTGCCAATTATCTTTAGCTTGTAGCCATTTTTTGTGTTTCAGCTGAAGATAGTTAATTCGATGAAAAGGAATGTCGTTTATACTGGAAATTAACTTGTGAGTTTTAGACCTAGATGTTGCGAGTTAGAACCTTGAGGAGTATGTGTAGCTCGGAAGCTTTATACTCCGTATGAAAGAATTACGAGATCTTTGGAGTCTAGACTACATGATATGTTTGTTAGTCAATATACATGGAGGAGTCGAGTTACATTTGTTTTTAGCTTATTTTATTATTCATGTGGCAAATGAGTATTAGGAAAGGGACTTCACGATGCTACTAGTCTGATTAATGCTATTTTTATACTGTTGAAGCTTTCACATTTTGTCATGAAGTTTTCATAGCTTTGTTTTCATAGAAAATGAGTATTTGACTGATGGAAAGGGACTGATGAATTTTACCTTTGCTATTTAGTAAAGATGAAAATTAGGCAGCTCTTAGACTTGCTTGATTATTTCTAACAAAACAATTTTTTATGTAGTCTAAAACCAGTTCTGTTGTTAGGCGATATTTCTGAGATACAATCCGAAGTAAAAGAAGAAGTTTCTATCATAAAACCAGAGTCACTTGAAATAGATGCTGAAGTAAACAAGCTGGAAGTTGCTGGGGAAGTTACAGAGACTGAAAAATCTGTTTTGGATGAGATTCTGACTGCTGCATCTGGAGGTTCAGCTTTATGGTTGGAAGGAGAAAGAGAGGGTAGTGGACATGAAAAAACAGAGGTATAGTGTGGACTTGACACAAAATTACTGAACTCTTACGGTAGAGGTGCTACATACATCTTAATTTTTCTTTGTGCTCCCTTTTTCATAAAACAACATTTCTGCAGGCATGGGCTGTAGCAGGAGGCACCAAGGAGATTGTAGAACGGTTTGATGAACTTATTCCTGATATGGCACTAACCTTCCCTTTCCAACTCGATCCCTTTCAAAAAGAGGTCCTTGATTGTTTATTTTTAAATTTCAAAATTTATTAAATGCTGTAGTGCTTAGTTTGAATTATGGAATTGTAACCCCACCATGATTCTTAGAAAAGTTAATAATCTTGTCACTAGGCCAGTTGGATGTTTGGGATCTGTATTGTTTTTGGTTTTTGGTCAGTTGCTCACTATGTTGCCCACTATGCTGCCCACCTACCTATATTCTCTTCTGATAATCATCAGGGTTCATGTTTGCTGATTGTAGGCCATCTACTATCTCGAAAGGGGGGACTCCGTTTTTGTTGCTGCTCATACATCAGCGGGGAAGACAGTTGTTGCGGAATATGCATTTGCTTTGGCATCCAAAGTAATGATTTTACTCTGTTCATGACTGACTACTTGACTAGTGAAAGGGTCTGCTGTTCTAAGTCAGACAATTTTATTCTCCCGCGCTAATGCTTTGCTTGTGATTTTATTTATCCTCAATTTTCTGGCAATATGTAGACAGTCTTAACATAGGACAGCATGATTGTGTATGTTGCAGCATTGCACTAGAGCTGTTTACACTGCTCCAATCAAAACTATTAGCAACCAGAAGTACAGGGATTTCTGTGGGAAATTTGATGTAGGCCTTCTTACAGGAGATGTTAGCTTGCGGCCTGAGGCCTCTTGTCTCATCATGACTACTGAAATATTGAGGTCTATGCTCTATAGAGGTGCCGATATCATCCGTGATATAGAATGGGTAGAAACCCCTTTCTCAATTCATGATTTACTTGATTCCTGGATTTAATTACTAAGAAATTGATGGCTGATTTCTGGATGGAGGATAGGTTATATTTGATGAAGTGCATTATGTTAATGACGCTGAAAGGGGTGTTGTTTGGGAGGAAGTTATCATCATGCTTCCAAGGCACATAAACTTTGTACTTCTTTCTGCAACGGTAAGCCTACATGCGCTTCAATTAGAGTATTTGATATTCATCAAGTATTTATCAATGCAAGTGACTTAGCACTATCATATGGGCCTACCTGATTATTTATTTAATTTGCTATGCATCTATTGAGTTTATCTTACATGCATGCATGCTGTCTTAGATTGTATAACAGTTGCGATCATCACCTTACCCAATTATGTTGGGGTTGGTAGTACACTAGCACTGTAGCACATAAACTGTAGTCAATTAATTTCCAAAATTAGTGAATATTACAAATTCGTGCAAAGAAAGCGCAGTGGCAAAGTTTTATGCTCGATGCCTTTCCAATAGCAGCCTTCTTAGTTCTTACAAAGGAACAGTGAGATGAAGCTCCTAAAATGTCATCACAATAGGGGTTTTCCATTATTATTCGGAGTCTGTCAGAGATGAGTTATTGTCCATGGATGAGCTCTACATGCTAAGTTGAATAACGGCTTTAGTAATGGATATAGCTCCATCTTATCAGTTTCTCTCCTGTCCTCCAAAAAAGGACAGGATCAAATGAAAGGCATAAGTCCCCATATTTTAAGTGTTTAATTTTCTTTTGAGTTGGAAGCCTGGTATCATTTTCAGATGATAATTCGAAATATTGTTTCTATACGGGGTGGGTTGCAGTGTTGGGTGCAGTTATTCTCAAAACGTTGCTTGTTAAACATGATGATTTCATGATTTGTAAACATTTACTCATTATTTTTTGGCTTGAGATTATGATGGAATAAAGCAAAATGGCTCACTAAACTGTCTGCGCTTCTTTGTTATGAAGCAGCAGTCAGTCCATGCAATTTTGGACGGGATTTTCACTATGGGTCACCCGGAAACAGTCTCTCTGTGCTTTAGTACAGGGGTAAGACTGCATACATCCGACCCCCCCTTACCCCACCGTAGGTGGGAGCCTTTGCGGCACTGGGGTAAATGAAAATGATAGCTACTTTCTCTCTCACACTTATCTTTTATGCAACTCCTTAGAAATGGTCTGCTTATTAATCTAGGTACCAAACACAATTGAATTTGCTGACTGGATTGGTCGGACGAAACAAAAGAAAATTCGTGTTACTGGGTGAGGCACGCTGATTTATTTAAAACCGATTCCTTTTATACTTTTTTAGATTATACTGGAAATTGTTTTATTCTCTCTAGTCTAGCTTTTTTTGGAATGTCCTTCTAAACCTATTATAGTATCTGCTCATGATAATGCCAATATCCTTGATTAAGATGAGACTCAAACCTGCGACCTCCTCTTTGGGAGATCGGTAGTGATGTCATCAGACCACAAGGTACTTAGTAAATCGGATAATATTGGCCATCCTAAAAGTGCTCCTGTTAATTAGGGGACTGAAGTATTCATTATGGTCAACTGTTGGCAGGGGTGTCTTCATCGATTCAAATTGACTTTAAAAGTGAGCAGGAATAGTTTATTGACTTTTCCGAAATGGAGATTGTTAACTTTTATATAATATTTCCCATCAAAACCGGGAAAACATTGTTAGAGATATCCAGAAATTCAATAAAATCACATAAAGAGATCAAGAACAACTCTGCAGTCTTTATTGATTAAGAACAAGAAACTATGGCCGAAGCCCCCAATTGACCGAAGTCCCCAAAAGAAAGATATAGAATCTCAGTCTTCCCAAGTCCCAAGACACAAGTCTAAAACAGCCTCCTACTAACTCCCCTTTCCAAGCTATTTATACTGTCTTTACATTTATTGTTGTTATTATTTCTATTATTAGTCTAATGGGCCTGATTCCTATCAAACATGCTATTGAGGATTGATTATATATACTCCTTTTTCTTGGCTTTGATGCAAAATTAACAAAAGGAGTCACCATAAATTTCAACAAAAATGATAAGACTATTATGAAATTGCAAGTCAAAATGAATTGATGGACTGTTGGCCCTAATTAAGGCTTCTCTCTGAAAATAAAATAACTGAAATCCTAGTTGAATTAGTCCTATTTCAAAATTTTGCACGTTACTTTATTGAGTTCTGTTTTCTTTATTCATGTCTTCTATCATCAGGACAACTAAAAGACCAGTCCCTCTGGAGCATTGCCTATTCTATTCTGGAGAGCTGTACAAAGTGTGTGAGAATGAACAGTTTGTGCCGCAGGGATTTAAATTAATTAAAGATGTATTTAAGAAGAAAAACACAAGTTATGCCACTGGTGGCACTGGGTTCTATGGGTCATCCTCAGCCGTCAGTGATAGATCTCGGATTCAAGGGCGTGATAACGTTTCTCAAGCAAAACAACTCAAAGGACCACAAACATCAGCTAATGTTGGTTCTGGCCAGGGAAACAAGAATAATATTGTTGGCCAAAAAGTTATGGGGAAATGGAGGGAAGAAGCATCCGTGTGGTTATCACTCATTAATAAACTGTCAATGAAATCTCTCCTGCCAGTAAGCACTGTTTTTTCCATAATTAGTTTATGCCCATGTAATCTTGTATTTTAAACTTTACACACTAATGTGTTATACGCCATCCACCCCCTCTACTTTTTCTTATAAATAAAAATGTGAATTGGCATCAATAATTTCGACTCAGACTCTCAGAGCTAAATGAAAAAAACCTTGTAATGTTGGTTATAATCTGTTTAGTGTTTAATGTATAAATGATATTGAATCACTCTTTTGGGATATATGGATTAGTCACCAGGGTTTCAAGTTACGCAGTATAATATTAAACTATTGTAGCATTGATATTTGATATCATAAATACATATTTTCAGCTTCTGGTCCTTGACATTTTGAGTGTCTGGATATTTTCAGATCTTGTAAGTCAATACTTAAAAGTAAATTTCAAGGTCTTGAACAGCTCTAAGCATGTGATTGCATGAATTTCTTGCTGTAGGTTGTGATATTTTGCTTTTCAAAAACGAGATGTGACAAGTCTGCTGATAATCTTCGTGGGACTGATCTCACAACTAGCTCCGAAAAAAGTGAAATCCGCTTATTCTGTGATAAAGCTTTTTCACGGCTTAAGGGATCTGATAGAAACTTACCACAGGTGCTGTAATTTCAGATCACCCCTTTTAACTTTCACGGCCACTTTGCTCAAAGAACTTTACATTTGGATTTGCAGATTGTAAGAATTCAAAGCCTTTTACGGAGGGGGATTGGAGTGCATCATGCGGGGCTACTACCAATTGTGAAGGAAGTTGTTGAAATGCTTTTTTGTCGTGGTGTAGTGAAGGTCAGGCCTTAACTCTTAAAGCACTGGTTGTGATAGTTCTGTTTATTACTGCAGTTTCTCAGAGCAGGGATATATTGAGTGGTAAGCTTCCAAGAGTTCTAGGTAGGGGCCTAAATTATGCATTGGTAAACCAGCGGTACATGTGTCTTGTGAATTGTCTTGGTTCTTATAGTAAGAGCAATTGCACTGATTGTCATTCCTACTTCCATGGGTTGTTCAAGTTAATAAAATTTGTGAAAGGTTAGGATTGAGGTGTCTCAAGATTGGGAATTAAATAAATTTCCTCAAAGGAAACAGTATTTCTAATTTAAATATATTTGCCCCTTTAGTTCTTTTCTTTCGTTATGTTTATTTCCCATCATGTTATTGATGACAGTAATAATGACGACATTAAAAGATTTGACCCAGCTCTTTATAAAACCACATTGCATTAGTGGAGGGAGACACTTTAATTTTCCCAACTGCATATTTGCTATTTTGAAAAGATTGAAATTTACATGAATGTTGAAGGAAGAAAGACAAGGCACATACCGTCATATGTGCATTCTAGGAGTAAGGTGTCACTAAACTTCACATTTGGTTACCCGTGATAATTAATCGCCTTAAAAACAGGGAACATATCAAATGTGAAAGAATGTGAGAAAATATTCTATAGTCTAAGTAGCATGGAAAAGCAAAACGGGAAATGCAAATGGCGAGAAGTGGGATTTCTAAAATGCATAGGATACATGGGGAAAAGTCCTAATGTGAACTCCTTACGCACACACACACAGGATGTCTACAAACGGAAAAGCAAAGGAAACAAATGTGAACTCCTTATGCACACAAAGGATGCCTACAATCACCTCAATTGTTGGGAGCTGTTTTAGTTTTTTTAAATGCTTTTTAAGGATTCTATCGGTTCATTTGTACCTTTTATTCTTTTTAGGTTCTTTTTTCAACAGAGACATTTGCAATGGGAGTTAATGCCCCAGCTAGGACGGTAAGTAACATATTTGTTTTTCTTTACAATTATTATGGTTGGTCTCACTGTATTTCTTCTCCGTATATTCTACCCCTCCCAATGGAACCAAAGAATCACTATTTTTTGGTTTGGAAATATGATGGAATAAAGCGAAATGGCTCAGTATACTGTCTCGCTTTTGTTAATGAAGCAACAACCAGTCTATGCAATTTTCTACGCGATTTTCATTACGGGTCATCCGACCTCTATCGGCTACAGGGGTAAGGTTGCGTACATCCGACCTCTATCGGCTACCACTCCCTGTGCTTTAGTACAGGGGTAATTTTCTCCCTGTGCTTTAGTACAGGGGTAAGGTTGCGTACATCCGACCTCTATCGGCTACCACTCCCACCCCTTTTTCTTGAGAAGAGGAGTTGTCTACTCTTCACATAACCCTTTTTACTGCTCAAAGTATTCTAAGCATTTATTAAGCTCTCCATTAACATGACTTATTAGAAAATTCAATGAGAAAAGATTGTGGTTTAACATTCTATTAACTTTTGTAACATTGTTCTCAAAGCAACCTTGAGTCGGCCTAGCGTTTAGTTTGAAAAAGATTTAACATCATTGAGGCTGCTGAGCTACTCTCTAAGTCTAATTGCAACCCAGCTCCGTCAATAAATAAAATTCCTCACCATTTTATACGTATACACTTAGTCAATCCAGTTTTTACTGCAATCCAACATCGTCAATATATTCACCCAACAAAGTGTTTTTAATTAAAGCCTTGCTTTTATTAGTATACATTAACTTTTTTCCATTTTTTTGTTGTCAATAATTATGATTTGAAAAGTCAAACATTCTGATGTAAAAATAAATAAATTTGAAGTTTAATTTTGTTGTTACTTCGGACCTATTTTTTTTTAAATAATTGAAAGTTGCAATGCGATCTTAATTTTAGCACTTGAATCTATTTAAGAAAAAATGTGGATCTGAAAACCTCCGACAGTTGAAACTTCATATATCTTTTAAACTTTATATATGCAATATTGGTGTTCATATGGAAGATCACAAATGAATTTTGATATATTTTTAGTAAAAATTGGAGTAAAAATAAAAAAGTTACAACACTTTCAAACAAAATAGAGTTTACTTTTTGCCTGCACCCACCCTTTTCTTTCCTTTCGCGTAGCAGGCTGCTGCCACTTACAGAGTTACAGCCAGATACCTCCTCTCTCATCTGTGAATAAGGCAATGGATTCCCACCCAAAGGGTGCCCCCAACCCACTTTGGCACCCATAAATACCTTGGGTGCTGCTGTTTTTGGGTGGAAAGCTCAAATATGGCTTTTTCACCCAGGGTTGCAGTCAGCCTATCTGATGTTATTAATAGGGTTTCAACGTGTTTTTGTTGTGTGTGTTTGTTATGTGTTTGTGTGTTTATGTATGTATATATGTTCCTTACACACACATGCCCAAATATAAGGTACCACCTCTTCTGAATATCTCCTATTTATGCGGCCATTTGCTGATATGCTTCAATTCTGTGGTAGGTTGTTTTTGATCAATTGAGAAAGTTTGATGGTAAAGAATTCAGACAGTTACTTCCTGGAGAGTACACCCAGATGGCTGGCCGTGCTGGAAGGAGAGGTCTCGATAAAATTGGTTCAGTAGTTGTGTTATGTCGTGATGAAATCCATGAAGAGAGGGATTTGAAGAATGTTATGGTTGGTAGTGCAACAAAGCTTGAATCTCGGTTTCGACTGACCTACATTATGATCCTACATCTGCTTCGTGTCGAGGAGCTCAAGGTATGTGTGGTTAGCAATCATAAGAAAAGTTGGATGTCAGTTGGGGGGGGGGGTCAGCACTTGTTTTAATACTTGTGTTAATAACAGCATCCCAATCAAGATCCAATGACTGTGGTCCAATACGTAACCAGGTGTGGTTGAGGCGTCGAGCTGTGATATGAACATAGTTCGCTAGCATTTATCTTAACAATTTGTGCCTCCTTTCTTTTGTCCTCAGATCACGCATAGTAAAAAATAGTTTTTCACTAGCATTCAGAAGAGATATCTAATTCTCTTTTATTTTATTTCAAAGAGAATCAAAAGCAACACATGGCGAGATACACCGTTTTATAACAGCAATGTCAAGTTAAACATGATTACACATATAGTTTTTTTGCTTTTAGCTACAGAACATCATTCAATGGGACTAAGGCTTGGATGTTGTTGTTAGCTACAGAACATCACCAGAACAAGAACACTACAATTTACCAGAGTAATGTTTTTGTTTGCATGGTTAGATATCCCTGACAGTAATTTTCCTGGCTTGCGCTGTGGACAAACATTGCAGGTGGAAGACATGCTGAAAAGAAGTTTTGCTGAATTTCATTCTCAGAAGAAATTACCAGAGCAGCAACAGCTTCTCATGCGAAAGCGTGCACTGTCTAAGAAACCTGTTGAGTAAGAGTGCCTCAGTTTAGATTAACTTGTACTTATGTGATGCACAAATTTGCAAGCGTACGAAATCTTAAGTGCAGATAGTCAGCACTAGTAGCCTGTTTTAGTCTTACGTTGCATTTATACTGTGAAAAGGTCAAAAGGATATCTTAGTGCAAATTAATCTTTACTCTTCTTCTTCTTCTTCTTCAAGTGTACCAGTTCTGATCTCTGTACTGTTCATTCTTACCTGGTGGCTAGTGCAAGTTGCAAGTGTATCCTATGTGCATTATTTTCCAAATTGATTTATGTATTTGACTATTTGTATGTATTTATTTCTCTATTCATTTTAATTAATATAGGTGCATAAAGGGTGAACCTGCAATTGAGGAATACTTTGAGAATTACTCAAAGGCTGATAAGTATGATAAACAGATAACTGAGTCAGTAATGCAGTCCCCAGCTGCACAAAAGAGTCTTACTCCCGGCCGTGTGGTGGTTGTTAGATCACAAAAGGTAAGTTTGCATCATGATCTGTCTGCCACGACAATTTATATCCTGGGATCGGCGCACCATAAGGATGGTGCGCCCGATCCCAAAACGACGCAACATCTATTATTTTTTATTTCTTTTATTGTTAAAAATTGTAATAACTTTTTTTTTGATATCCGATTTTTATAAATTTTATATCAATTTTTTTTATTTTTCATGATCTATCAAATGAGACCAATATTGCTTATGTAATTTTAACAAATTATTTTGAAGTTACATTTGATAATATATCATGAAGTTACATCTTCTTATGCGTGAATTACATCTTATTGTACGCGAGTTACATCTTAATATACGCGAGTTACATCTTAATGTATGTGAGTTACACCATGAAATAAACCCCTGCTACATCTTTCATTTTTATCATTTGAAAAATAGTGTATGAATATGAAATACAATATACTTATTTTATGTGGATTAATAAAATTTTGTATTAATTTGGCAAAGAAAAAAATTAATTCAGTTATAATTGAATTAGTTCAAGATAAAGATAAGTAAAAAATCACAAATAATTAGATATAACTCACACATGATTACATGTAACTCGCGCATAAAAGTATGTAACTCGTGTATAACAAGATGTAACTCACACATAACAAGATGTAACTCACACATAATTACATGTAACTCGCGCATAAAAGTATGTAACCCGTGTATAGCAAGATGTAACTCACACATAACAAGATATAACTCACACATAATAACTTGTAACTGGAGTATAAGATGATGTAACTTCGTATATTATCAAATGTAACTCCAAGCTAGAAGCAAAATAAACAAACTCAATATCTTAAAAACCTCTAAAAACATATAAAAGTGATAAAAAAATATATTATAGAAAAAGTGTATGCATATAAAAATATATTACAAAAAAATGTATGAATGTAAAAAATTAAAATTACATAGGCAATATTGGTCTCATTTGAAAGATCATGAAAAATAAAAAATTTTGATATAAATTTTATAAAAATCGGATCAAAAATAAAAAAATTATTAACAATTTTAAGAAAAAAAGAAATAAAAATTAACAAAGGGTGCATGGTGCTCAACATGCACCGGTTCCACGGTATAAGCACTGGTCTGCCACTTACGTTTGTTACCTGTATTACTTTATCTGGAATGTTGAATGTGCTTGTTCTTTGTTCTAGATATATTGCCACTTCATTTGTTTTGTATGAGATTTACTTTTGGCAATAATATGGTTCTACTATAGAGTTCAATGATTTGATTCAAGATTCCTGTGTGCTTAGACTGCTTACAACATGTTTCGTTGTTATGGATTCCTTGAATAAACGCTTAAATTTGGCCCCTTTATGTTAATAATAATAATATGTATGTGTGTGCAGGGGAGACATATTTTTTGTAGGGGAGAGTTCTAGTGAGAATCCATCTTAAAATAAGAATTCCTTATGATGAGAAGTTTGAATCTCAACCTTTCATTTTATTCAATCATTGGTTAGCATAGATATGTTGTCTTTTTTGTAATTATTCATAATTCAAATAGATTTTTTTTTTGTAATTAAAGTAAATTAATTAAAAAAATGTCACATTGTTAATTCTAGCCATGAATTAAAATATGAAAGGTGGAGGCGAAAAGTTCTCATTCATAAATGTGTTCTCATTTTAACAGGGTTCTCACTAGACCCCTTCTCTGTATATATATGTATGTGTGTGTATATATATGTATATCTAGAAATCATAAGAAAAGTTGGCAATCATAGAGATACAACATCAGCAACATCCAAGCCTTATTTCCAAAAGATTATTCATATTTTGATTCATGTCATGTTATGTGACTAAGTGATACTATTGGCCGTCACACGTCTACCACATCACCCTTCTCCTTTATTCTGGCTTGGGACATACATGATACCAAAAATGATCTCATGGTAGAGTTTTGGCAGTCATAGAGATAAATTAGTAAAAAAATCAATACTCCCCTTCCCCTCTGAAAGTCATGAACCAAACCAGCCCATAGATTAAGTGGAAAAGGGACGCAGTGCGAGGTTTTTATTCCATCCATAAAGAAAGAAAGTCACGTTTCAAACTAAAAATTCCCTGAAATTTCAAAATGAGACAGTCCTATTGAAACAAACAGTGCTAATCTTTCATGTAATTTCGGTGAGATAATTTGAAATTTTAGAAAGTACATAGTTATATATTTTCAAAAATAGTAGAAATTCCAGATTATTCTAAGGAAAAAAGAGTCCAGTTGTATTATGTTTCGTTTAATGTCTCCTAAGATTTATTAGGTCTCAATAAGTTGACAAAAAAATTAACAAGTTATTAGGATATATAAATGTGATGACTTCATGACAGTAGTACCCTGCAAAAATTTCAAACTTGTACGCTGACCACGCAAGACTTTCGTTTAGAGATTGAGGGGCATGAAAATTTGCTATATGGTTAACAAAAAAAGTTCAGGTGATTTAAGTAATTCAACTGGTTGAATAATGAAACTAGGCAGTTTTTTGTCATATAGGCTTTTATTCTCTTAACAATTGTACTTGGTTAAAAAATGGGATGATAAAGGAGGTACCAACATTTGTCGAGTTTACACTTGGGCATGTTAAAGACTGTTGATGACTTGATGCATGTAGAAAAATGTAACATGTATTTGTTATTTTAATTATTTGTACATCCGGAACTGTATAGATAAGACTTAGAGTAGATAGAACTCTCTAACTAGTAGATAAGCTCGCAGAACAGATAGATCCTATATTTTAGGATCTGTAACAACTAGACTTTATCTGTAACTTGTATATATATCATTGCCGGATGGCTCAATAATATACAAGGAAGATTAATTCTTCAAACCTACATGGTATCAGAGCCTCGGTTTAAACAATGGTAGAAACCAGTGATGCTGATTCCTCACACACTATCAACCCTAACTCCCAAATTAGCCCTATGACAAATTACCAGTCTATGATAATCACTAGTCATAGATTGAATGGAACAAACTATCTGGAGTGGTCTCAATCTGTCAGACTTGCAATTGATGGGAGGGGAAAGCTGGGTTACATCACAGGAGAAATCAAACCATAACTACCTGCAGAAGAAGGTTACAGTACATGGAGGTCAGAGAATTCACTCATAACAGCTTGGCTTCTCAACTCCATGGAGCCCTTAATTGCCAAACCTCATATGTTTATGAAATCTGCAAAGGAGGTATGGGACTCTATGAAGGAAACTTATTCAGATCTTGAGAACTCTTCTCAAGTTTTTGAACTCAAAACCAAACTGTGGCAATCTAAACAAGGAAATAGGGATATTATTTCATACTACAATGAAATGGTATGGTGATGAAGAGTGGGAGAGTGCTAAGGATCTGGCCAGACATAAGAAAAGAGAAGAGAATGATAGGGTCTATATGTTTCTACAGGGATCAATAGGGACCTAGATGAAGTAAAAGGCAGAATACTGGGAAAGAAACCTTTGGCCTCAATCAGAGAGGTTTTTTCTGAGATCAGGTTGGAAGATAGCAGGAGGAGGGTCATGTACAACACTCCAGTACCTAATGAGGAACCTGGGGACTCTTCAGCTTTAGTGGTCAGAAGTGATGACAAGAAAAAACCTTGGTGTGATCACTGCAAAAAATTGTGGCACACAAGGGAAACATGCTGGGAAACTTCATGGAAAACCACCAGGAGCTGGAAAGAAGAAAGTTGAGAGGGCCCTACAAACTACTGAGACTCAACAGGAGTCAGGAGTTGAATCTAAACAACTGCCTTTCACTCAGGAACAGATAGAGTACCTACTCCAATTTATACCCACCCAGAAAATCTCCAACCAAGAAAACCCTTCCTGTTCTTTTGCCCAAAATGGTAAAATAAAATCATTTTTTTGTTCTGAAAAACCAAAAAACACCTGGGTCATTGACTCAGGTGCAACAGACCACATGACCTACATTCCAAATCTCTTTTCTTCATATCAACCTTGTGAGTTGCAGATGGCTCTTTTTCAGCCATAGCAGGGATGGGAAATATTAAAATTTCCTCATCCATTAACCTTTCTAAAGTCTTACATATTACAAAACTTTCCTGCAATCTTATCTCTATTAGCAAAATAACCAAAGACCTTCAGTGTTGTGTAAAGTTTTATCCTTCTTATTGCATTTTTCAGGATCTGGCATCGGGGATGATGATTGGCAGTGCTAGAGAGGAGGATGGCCTACATGTATTTGATGAAGGAACACAATTGAATAAACAAGGTCAAGAAAAAATTTGTCTGCAAACTATTTCCGTTCCTTGTAATAATGAAGTGTATTTAATGCACTATAAATTAGGTCACCCAAGTTTTTCCTATCTAAAAAGGTTGTTTCCTAAGTTATTTCATAATAAAAATCCTTCATCATTTCATTGTGATATGTGTGCACTTGCCAAACATCATAAGAGCTCTTATATCCCTCATAGTTACAAACCAACTAGTCCTTTTACTATTGTACACAGTGATATTTGGGGTGCATCTAGAGTTTCAACTTTGAAAGGAAAAAGGTGGTTTGTAACTATCATAGATGATCACACAAGGGTCACATGGGTTTTTTGATTAAAGAAAAATCTGAGGTTGAAGAGGTGTTCAAGAAATTTTACTCAATGATTCAGACTCAATTCAATACTAATATCAAAATTGTGAGAAGTGATAATGGTCTTGAGTATTTTTCTAAGAAGTTAAATATTTTTTTTGCTAAAAAAGGGATTATTTATCAAAGTTCCTGTATAAATACACCTGCTCAGAATGGAATAGCTGCGAGGAAAAATAGGCATTTGCTTGAAGTCACTCGTGCAATTATGTTTTCTACTAGAATTCCAAATTATTTATGGGGAGAAGCTGTTTTACATGCTACCTATTTAATTAATAGGATGCCATCAAAGACTCTAGGATTTAAAACTCCCATTGATACACTTCAAGCCAGTTTTCCTGAAACTAGGCTTATTAACTCTCTTCCCATAAAAATTTTTGGCTGCACAGTTTTTATTACCAACCCTTACAGAACTGCAAGCAAATTTGATCCTAGAGGCAAAAAATGTGTTTTCTTAGGACTATCTTCACCACAGAAAGGCTATAAATGTTTTGACCCTACAACAAAAAAGATGTTTGTAACAATGAACACTTTTTTACAACAAAAAAGATGTTTTGTTGAAAATCAACTTTTTTTTGGTACTCATCTTCAAGGGGAGATTCCTAATGAAGATGGTGATAATGTGTCACATATCCATGAAAAACTTGAATTTCTTGACATTAGTCTAGATGCACAATATAATAGACAGTTAGATGCACTAGAAAATAGTCAAGAATCAAAAGAAAATGAAATAAAATTTTTTGAGACAAGGAAAGATGACGAACAGCAGACAAGTAAATTTTTTGGCAAGGTTTATGAAAGAAGAGTTCCAAATCAAAGAATAGAGGACATCCCTGATCCTGCCACTGCTCATGAATCTGACTCAATGTCAGAAAATGACAAAGGTAATAATTCCAGTGATCTAAATCTACCCATTGCTCTCAGAAAAGAAAAAAGATCATGTGTTAAATACCCTATCTCAAACTATTTGTCCTATTCTCAGTTATCTGCATCATTTGCAGCCTTTACCTCTAGTCTTTCCACTGTTTCTATTCCCTTAACCATACATGAAGCTCTATCTAAACTTGAGTGGAAGAAGGCTGTTTTAGAAGAAATGGATGCTCTTTAAAAGAATCAGACATGGCGGGTTGTGGAATTACCCAAGAACAAACCAACAGTGGGATGCAAATGGGTATTTACCCCTAAATTTGAAAGATATAAGGCCAGATTGGTTGCCAAAGGATATACACAAACCTATGGCATATATTATACAGAAACTTTTGCTCCAGTTGCAAAATTAAATACTATAAGGATCCTTCTATCTCTAGCTGCTAACCTAGATTGGTCTCTTCAACAGTTAGATGTGAAGAATGCTTTCTTAAATGGGAAGCTTGAAGAGGAAGTATACGTGAGCCCCCCTCCTGGGTTTGAGGAACAGTATGGCTCAAAGGTGTGCAAGCTGGAGAAAGCCTTATATGGACTTAAACAGTCCCCAAGGGCTTGGTTTGACAGGTTTACTCAATTCATAAAGAGGCAGGGATTCAAGCAAGCCCAAGCAGACCGACCATACACTGTTCATGAAGTTCTCAAGTAAGGGAGAGATTGCAGTGTTAATTGTTTATGTGGATGATATCATTCTTACAGGAGACTATTATAAAGAGATTGAAGACCTGAAGAAGAAGTTGGCTCAGGAATTTGTGATCAAAGACCTGAGAGAATTGAAGTACTTTCTTGGCATGGAGATAGCCAGGTCAAAGAAGGCAATTGTGGTATCTCAGAGGAAGTATGTACTAGATCACCTACTCCATGAAACAGGTATGAGTGCCTGCAGACCAATAGATACTCCAATTGATCTTAATCAAAAGTTAGGAGATGTCAAGGATGGAGTACCAGTTAATGTTCAACAATATCAAAGATTGGTGGGAAGATTGATTTATCTGGCACATACAAGGCCAGATATTGCCTTTGCAGTTAGTATGGTTAGCCAATTCATGCATAATCCATTCCAGGAACATCTAGATGCTACCTACAGAATCCTAAGGTATTTGAAAAACTGTCCAGGGAAAGGATTATTTTTTAAAAAGGGTGACAATAGAAGTGCGGAAGCTTTTACAGATGCAGATTATGCTGGCTCAATAACTGATAAAAGGTCTACATTTGGGTATTGTACCTATGTATGGGGGAATCTAGTGACTTGGAGAAGTAAGAAGCAGAATGTAGTTGCTAGAAGTAGTGCAGAATCTGAATTCAGATCTATGTCTAATGGAATCTGTGAACTGCTTTGGATCAAGAGAGTGATTTCAGAGTTGAATATGAAAATGGAACTACCTATGAAGTTATATTGTGATAATAAGGCAGCCATTAATATTGCTCACAACCCTGTGCTACATGATCGTACTAAACATATTGAAGTGGACAGGCATTTTATCAAAGAGAAGATTGAAGCTGGAATTGTGTGTACACCATTCATATCTACCAGAGAACAAACAGCTGATATCTTTACAAAAGGGCTGTTCAAACCAGTGTTTGAACTACTTATAAGCAAGTTGGGAATGTATGATATATACTTACCAACTTGAGGGGGAGTGTAGAAAAATGTAACATGTATTTGTTATTTTAATTATTTGTACATCCGGAACTGTATAGATAAGACTTAGAGTAGATAGAACTCTCTAACTACTAGATAAGCTCGCAGAATAGATAGATCCTATATTTTAGGATCCGTAACAACTAGACTTTATCTGTAACTTGTATATATCATTGCCGGATCGCTCAATAATATACAAGGAAGATTAATTCTTCAAACCTACAATGCACATAGCACACGCCCCTGATATAAACCGATAAATATTTCATTGTCTTTTAATCATTTTTTAATTTCCTCTCAATTGACAGGGAAAAGACCACTTACTAGGAGTTGTGCTGAAAACTAAAGTTAGCAACAATCAGAAGCAATACATAGTATTAGTGCTAACTCCAGAGTTACCCCCGGTGATGAAAAATCAGATGGATACTGGTAAACCCAGCGATAAAAAAGGTCCCGACTTTCAGATACTGATACCTAAATCAAAGCGTGCAGTAGCGGATGAATATTTTACTTCTGGGACTTCTCGTAAAGGATCAGGAGTTATCAGCATTGAATTACCTCACCATGGTAATGCTGCTGGGGTTAATTATGAGGTTAGAGAAGTTGAGAATAAGGAGTTCCTCTGCATATGCAGTGAAAAATTTGCAATTGATCAAGTACGGCTACTTGAAAATGTTAATGCTGGAGCTTACTCCCACACCGTCCAACAACTTGTGAGTAAAAAATCTGGAGGAAATAAGTACCCTCCTGCCCTAGATCCGGTCAAAGGTATGCTAGTTTTTTTCCCATGATGAACATATTTTTTATAAATTTGTGTATTATGGATATATTCATTCGATTCTGTGGTGCACTTGGTTACAGAGGAGACCTCAGCTAGCATTCGAGAAATTCAATATTTAAAATTTTGCTTCCTTGCTTAGTTTTATCATTGAAGTATATGACGATATAAATTTTGAATAAATTTTTGTTAAATCAGATCCATGAATCCATCACACCCCAAATGGTACAGCGTGACACTTAGTTTAAAAAAGCGCACATAGGTGTGACTAGGCGCAAAGCACAGAGATCATCATCATCATCACCCCAGTGCTGCAAAGGCTCCCACCTATGGTGGGGTAGGGGGGGGGAACGGATGTACGCAACCTTAGTTACCTTACCCCTGTACTAAAGCACAGAGAGACTGTTTCTTGATGGCCCTTAGTGAAAATCGTGTCGAAAATTGTATGAACTCACAACTGCTTCATAACAAAGAAGCGCAGACAATTTAATGAGCTATTTTGCTTTATTTCATCATATTCCCAAGCCAAAAAATAGCGAGTCTCTTTGACTCCATTGCAAATGATGAAAAAATCGCATCAGATAACTTGGGCGCAACACACTTCTTCATAAACCGTGCACCTTCCTTGCTTTGTTCCGCAATTTTGCCCCTTAAGAGGCTAACACATTAGCGGCCCTAGTGATGGCTGTAAATTTGACGATTTATTTGTTAGTCGTGAATTATTTTCCGTAAGCTTCCTAGAGTTCCCCAAAATCTTTTGGGACTAAGGCTTGGATGTTGTTGTTGAAGCTTCCTAGAGTTCTTCTGCTGCATAGTACTCCCTGAGTCCAAAACCATTCCATCTCTTATTTTTTCTTTATCACAAATCAAACATTTTCCCTGCTCTATTTGCGATTTATTTTATGATTTATATGTGGAGTATTATAAAGATGTTCATGTACTTCCCATAGTCCAAAACCATTCATCTCTTATTTATCACAGATCAAACTCTTCCCCTTCATTTGTCACAGATCAAACTCCCCCCCTTCATTTGTAACAGATCAAACTCTCCCCTTGTCTTCGCATGTTGCCCTCTTTCACATAAGTTTTCTCTCTCGTGCTCTTTTGCTCCAATTGCAGATAGAAAAGTTTGTGTTCATGCTCTCTTTTCTTTTTTTATAAGTTAATTACTTAGCAAGTCTGTCACCGACCCAGTTTTGTATTTCCAACAAACTATACTTAACAGTAAAGACCAGAAGCCTCCATATTTTAACCAGAAAGTCTTAGAGCTAATCTGTAACCTCTCTGATAGTCTTAAAACCAGAAGCCTTAATATGATCTTTCTAATTTTAACTAGCAAGCCTTAATTTGTAATCGTTCTGATAGACTTAATGTTAGAAGCCTTAATGTTTTAACCATGAAACTAAGTAAGTGACTAACCGATACTCCCTCCATCCCTCTAAGATTGTCCCATCTTTCCTTTTCGATCTGTCTACTAAGATTGTCCCATACCAAATTTGGTAAAGTTTGTATGATTTTTTAAATCATTCTTACTTTATTCTTACTTTATCAATTCAATATCAACCATATAAACCCACTTTTCTTAATAACTACATCACCTCCTTATGTCCCAATGTTAGTGGGATGGAGGGAGTGTATTTTAATTTGAAGTCCAGGACACATTAAGTTAAGAAAAATAAACTTTTCACTATAAACTTGAGAAAAATATCCTAGGTATGACTAAAACTCCCTCACTTTCCAAATCTAGGACCTAGTTAGTTTTTTTCCTAAAATAATATTTAATTGGTAATATTTAAATAGTATATTTGATAAATACATAAATAAATAATTTATATGGACTAATGTGCCCTTAACCTATTATTATAAAACCCTAACTTCCTCTTCTCTTCTCTATTGCTTGCTTGGAGTCACCCCGCTGTCCGCCGCCACCCTCTAGCCACCCGCCACCCGCCTCTGGCCTCCAACCTCCAGCCGCCCGCCGTCTCCAGCCTCTTCTTTTTCTTATTTTATTTCTTGAAATTAGGGTTGGTGGGGTGCCCAGAGGACGGCGCTGGACTGACGGTTAGGGACGAAGGACCATCCCCCATCTCAAGGGATGAGGGTTGCGCTCTCAGCCTCTCACGAGATCAAGCAGACCCGTTCTTCCTTGCTCTTGTCGATGGCATAATCGCCGGCATTGAACTTTGTGCAGTGGATGAATGTGTTGAGGGAGGATGTTGTGCAGTATATCGAAGCCAATAGATAGTGTTAAAATGTTGGTGGGATATGCATCGATTATGTAGAGTAGTAATGCCGGTATAAAGTGCAGTATATTTGTAAATTCCTAACATGGGTGGGAAGAGAAGTAATGTTGGCGGTAAGTGCAGTAATGTCATGCAATAGTGCACGACATGAAGTGCAATATATTTAATTGAACGAAAGCAGTGCCAAATGCACTTTTTTTAATATGAAGAGATTTATATGACAAGATTTTCTTTTTCTTTTTGCTTTTCATATTTAGGGAAAATGAATTTGTCATATTATAAACTTTAGTTGAATCTGTAAACTTCAAGCTCCAGGAAACATTAAGTCAGTCACGATTGAATGTTTATTTTGTTTCTTTTGTCACTGATTTTGGTGTTAAATATGCTTATTTAATGACTTGTGGTATTTAATGATTTTATCATTATTTTTGGGATGAAGGGGTATCATGTACAAGTTGTACAAGTATTGTCACAAAATGCTTGCCTCACGCTTTTTTAAACTAAGGTGTGGCATTTACACTGGTAGATAGATGAGTCCTAACCGGCTGGCCCAAATATACGAGGGGGTGGGGGTGGGGGTGGGGTCCCACAACTCACAATTAAATAATGCCATGTTAAATTGCATTTAACTCGCCCGAAAGGGTCCTCAAGAGGTGAGTTTGATGTTTATCTCACAGTTGTATACTAGAGTCAAACAATTTCTTTTACGGCATCAAATGACTTTTCTTTTTTCTCTTATCTTGCTAATATGTAAGCACAAAAATACCTAATGATCATATTGTACTGAGTTCTTGTAACCTGACAGATCTTAAATTGAATGACCCGGCTCTTGTTCAAGCATATTGCGAGTGGAGCAATCTTTTGCAAGAGATGTCTCAAAGTAAGTGCCATGGATGTGTTAAGTTGGAGGAGCACATCAATCTAGCTAGAGAAATAAAGGGGCACAGGGAAGAACTGGAAAGTTTGGAATATGAAATGTCAGATGATGCGCTTCAGCAAATGCCCGACTTCCTGGGCCGGGTATGTAATGATTTTTTTTACTATTCACTTGAAAAATAGTTAAAAAACACATTCTTACCATACAATAAAATTACAAAAGATTTTTTTAATATGCAATTTCTACCTTCTCGCTTTTACAGATAGAAGTGTTGAAGGAAATTGGCTGTATAGATGCCGATCTTGTGGTTCAAATCAAAGGTCGGGTGGCTTGTGAGATGAATTCTGGGGAGGAGTTGATATGCACTGAATGCTTGTTTGATAATCAATTGGATGATTTGGAGCCAGAAGAAGCAGTAGCAATCATGTCTGCCTTTGTGTTTCAGCAGAAAAAGACTCAAGAACCTTTCCTCACACCGAAACTCTCCCAGGCTAAAAAGAGGTTAGTGACATTTTAAAATGTTTAAATTATGTAATGTCATCTAGCTACTTTGTTTTCGTTTATTGGATCTGTATTTAGGGTGAATCGAAGATGATTGTGCTAATAATTTAACTGATGGATTTCACCACAGTAGTGTTTCAGGATTGTCTATTCGTATGGTAGACCTAGGGGTGCAAATGAGCCGAGTTGAGCTTGAACGTGGGTATACTTAAGCTTGCTAAGAACGGACGAACTCGGCTCGAGCTTGAAAGAGCTAAATAGTTTTGGGAGCTCAACTCGAGCTCAGCTCGAGCTTTGCTCATCATCATCATCATTACCCCAGTGTCGCAAAGGATCCCACCTTCAGTGGGGTAAGGGGGGTCACATGTACGCAGTCTTACCCCTGTAATTAAGCACAAAGAGGAGTTTTGCTAATTAATATTTATAGGTTTGAGGTCGAATAAGATGCTTGAACTCGAACTCAAGTGGAGCTAAAAATAAAATTTCTATTTTCAAAATTATTAATATTATATTTATACATAAAAATATTTAAATAATATCTAATATGTGCACTTTATTATTCTCATTTTTTAATGACAAGGCTTGGATGTTGTACCATTCCATCATTTGCAATGGAGCCAAAAACTCATTATTTTTTGGCTTGGGAATATGATTGAATAAAGCAAATGGGCTCACTAAACTGTCTGCGCTTCTTTGTTATGAAGCAACAGTGAGTCCATGCAATTTTTGACGCCATTTTCACTATGGGTCATCCAGAAACAGTCTTTCTGTGCTTTAGTACAGGGGTACGACTGCGTACATCCGACCCCTCCTACCCCACTGTAGGTGGGAGCCTTTGCGGCACTGGGGTAATGATAATGATGAATGATGATGAAGGCTTGGATGTTGTATCATTCTCATTTTTTAGTTCAATCTCTTTCGTTGACATTCTTACTTCTTATTTTACTATCAATTGAATTTTGAAATATATAAATAAATAAACATCAATAAATGAATATAGTGTTGGTATATATATACTCCCTCCGTATTAAAATAAGTGTCCCGGTAGGCTTTTCACGTAGTTTAAGATAATTTATAAGTTTACTGTACACTTTTTTAAAAAGTAGGAGATTTTTGGTATGCAGTACTGTTTACTTTATTAAAGTGTCAAAAGAATGGGATAATGGAACTTCATAGGGGGTTTCATCTTTTAAAGAATTATCCTGTGCTTGATTTTTTAATATTCTTCTGTTCACGTTAGTTAAACTACACTGATTTAAATGTCACTTCAGATTGTACGATACAGCAATAAGACTAGGGAAGCTCCAAGAACGCTTAAACCTACAGATTGATCCAGAGGACTATGCAGGAGAAAATCTAAAGTTTGGCTTGGTTGAAGTAGTATATGAGTGGGCAAAGGTATTTCCTATGTGCAAACTGGCAGTGTACAGAAGTGTGGAGGTCTTTGTTTTGCTGCTAATGTTTACTTTTTTTCCTGGGGACAGGGCACTCCATTTGCGGACATATGTAATCTCACAGATGTTCCTGAAGGGTTGATCGTAAGGACCATAATGAGACTGGATGAGACATGTCGAGAATTTAGAAGTGCCGCCGCCATTATGGGAAATTCTGCACTTCACAAGAAAATGGAAACCGCTTCTAATGCTATAAAGCGTGATATTGTCTTTGCGGCTAGCTTGTACATTACCGGCGTTTAGTACCAAACCCAGGTAGGATTTTTCATGGAATCTTGTGTACCCTAATGGTTAGGTTCGGTTCAGTTCAGTTCGGGTGATGCTTACTCAGTCGGCAACTTGGATCTTGTTGTACTACACTCAGTGCGCAACTAAATTATTTATAGTGGTATCCATATTATAAAAATAAAACATGCCTTCTCATTATAAAAAAATAGATATATTTGGTGATTGTTCACAAAGGATATAGATATATTTTAAGCTTCTAGATATCACCTCTAATAATTTAGTGGCACACTGAGTAGTACATTAGAGTGGCACAGGTGATCCAGATCCTTAATGGGGTTCCTCAACCGTTAAATGGGAGCCTGTCTGAACTTAAGTGATGTGTAATCTAACGGTCTAGCACCCACTTTGGTAATATAGTAACATCAAGCCTGTTGACGATCCAAATATTGTACAGGCATTGCCGGATCAGATGATAATCTCAGCACATTTTTGCATCAGTTTGTAACAATTTTCCAGCAGTTTTGGTGGCATTAGTTTAAATTAGGCCAGAAGGTAATCTTAACAATTTGAATGTAATACTAGTTTATATATATATAAATATATAGCCCAGAGAATATTTCAATGTTGCAAAGTCGGACCCAAACGATGTTCAATTGACCCTGTTTTGGGGTGTGGAGCAGTCCACTGGCCTCCATCCCCATGGCCCCATGGAATGAAGTACCCCTTCCTCAAGATAACTTAAAAGGGCAGGAAGTTGATTGAAGATCCATTATTGTTAGTATCAGGGTATTGTGTGTTTCCTTTGTGCAGGATCACACATTATGATGGAACATGTCTCAGTCTCAAGTGTTTGTATGCTCCGTTAGAGTAGAGGGATGGACTGGGCTGGTTCGGACTGACCGGGTAGCCGGCCTGGACCGCTACTGTATGGTACCGGCCCGGCCTGGCTGACCTGGACCGGGCTTTGGGGCCCGAACTGGGGGTCAAATGGGGCGGGGTTCGGGACGTTATTTTAGTGGACCTGCCGGTCTGGGCCGTTGCTAGGTGGGTTGGGCTGAGTGTTTTGGCGGGGTTTGGGGGTAGAAATAAATGAGAAAAGACTATTTTTTTTTTAAAATTGACCCAACCCGGGCCTGGCCCGATCTCGGATCAAACCTGGGCTGGTATCGGGCCTTCAGCCCAAATCCCCAGTCCCTCCCAATCCTGGCCCGGGGCCCGGCCTGTTAGATCAGCTAAAGTTAGAAGTCGTCAATTATACTCTAATCTGCATTAGGCTATTTTATTCTACGTACTACGGAAATTTACTTATATATTACTAAAGCACATGCCAATTTCCATAACCTGGGTAGTCAAGTATTCTACCATTGTATATTTGTATGACAAAAAATGCATTGAATAAATAAAACAGCCCATGAAAATTTAAAGGAAATAAATGACTAAAAATACTTCAAAAAATGTGTGTAGTCCAAAAATAAATAATGGTGAAAGTGTGAAACACATCCCTTAATTTTTCCAATTCGCTACACTCATTTTTCAAAAAGTGCATGTATTTTCTCTTTCCTCCAAAATCCAAACCATGCACTACTGTCTAATATACTGTCCCAATTAGTGCATGATTTAAGACTTTAAGTTATGTTCAGTGGATTATGTTGTGCAATTATTTAAGTAACTTTTAAAATAGATGCAGTAAATTAGTTTTTTTACTTTTTATGATTCGATTGGTCATATGCACTGTGATTAAGAAGACTGAGTATGTAAATAATTCGTGCATTGATAATAAGGGCATTAAAATGTTTGTATATCACATAATTTGCGTATCACATAATCAGGGCATTAAAATGTGAAGTAATTAAATTATGGAATGAAAAAAAAGAGTAAGTAATGAGTTATACAATATATTGAGTATGTGGATTGTAGGTGTCGAAAATACATTATAACAACAACAATAATAGTCAAACGCATATTTGTGGGATAGGTAATTAATATAGATGTTAATGGGGTGATGGAGAAACAAGGAAGGAAAAATTTCCATAAGAAATTATATTAAATGGGACTAAAAATGGCTAAAACTCCAAAATAGGACTTCAAGTTTTAAATTTCCTAAATGGGACTCCACATTACCTTTTTGCCCCTAATCCCTAAATCACCTTTTCCCAAATAGCTCTAACCCTTCTGCACTCGTCGCTGCATTCTCGCCATCGATTGGAATCCTTTGTAGCCGCAGCTCTGCACATCTCTTCCTCCTGTGGACTGCATCTCCGCCATCGGCTATGGCGTCGCACCGTAGCTCCGCCATCGACCATAGGTATCCTCCTCCCCCTCCTTTCTTCTTCTTCTTCTTCTTCTTCTTCTTCTTCTTCTTCTTCCTCTTCCTCTTCCTCTTCCTCTTCCTCTTCCTCTTCCTCTTCCTCTTCCTCTTCCTCTTCCTCTTCTTCTTCTTCTAATCCTCTTCAAATTTTTGGTCCTCTGTTCTCTTCTTTAAATTTTTTGGATTTGAATTTTATTTATTAATTTGGACTTTTTGGATTTGAATTTATTTATTCAGCAAAATGTCACTTTTATAATCCGAGAATGTCAAAATTATTGGTTATTTGGAAAAAATGTCACGTTTGTGACAGTTTATTTAATAGGATGACAATCTGAAAATGTCACTTTTGTTTTGAAAATGTCATGAAAGTTACATTATTACTCTGGAAATGTCATTTTCTTCTTTGAAATTGTCACCTTAGCAAATGTAATGTCATGAAAGTGACATTATTAGAAATCAGTGTTCAATTAAAGATCAACTATGTCATTTTTCAGATTGAAGTGATTAGAACAATAATATGAATCTTTTAAAAATAAATTACTCAGGATTATAAAAACTTGGAAATCCAAAAGAAGAAGAAAATAGAAGACCTGTAGAAGAAGAAAACAAGGGAGCTTGAGAAGAAATTAAGAGATGAGTACAAGAAAAAGATCGGAAGAAACTTACCTGGGGTCTGGGGAGCCGTTCATCCGTGCATGCAACTCGCAAACGACCTTCATCGCACCCAGTGAATTGTTGCAGCAGGAACTAAGAAAGGGCAATTTTGTCCGATCGGTAATTAAAAGTCCTATTTAGGTAATAAAAAACTTAATGTCCCACTTTGGAGTTTTAACCAAGTTTTAGTACCATTTGGGAAATTCTCTCTTTTATCTATGTTCATGGCTTCTGTCGTTGAGGACAACACTAGAATAAAGATAAAGAAAATAACAACAACAAAAACACCACCACCACCAACAATAATAATAATAATAAATGACGGCGCAAGATATAGACACATCAAACTAGGGATGGATTGGGACGGGTCGGCCCGAACCGAGCTCGGCCCGGTCCCGCCACTGTTTAGGCCCAGTCTGGCCCAGTCGGGCGGTATCGGGACCGGGACTTGGGCCTGAACCGGGTATTGGTGAGGGCGGGTTACGGGTCTAGAAAATAGGTGACCGGCCTGGCCGGTCTAAGACCGGTCAGGGCCCATTTTTTTTTAATTTTTCGCAATTAATAGGCTGCTAGGCGGGTGGGGATAGGTGATTTGGGGGATGGGGTGGGGGTAGGAATAAATCCGAAAAGCCATTTAAAAAAAATAAATAAAATGTGCCCGGCCCAGCCCGACCCGGGCTCGGTAGAAACTCGGGCCGGTACCAGGCCTGCAACCCGAAATCCCAGTACCGCCGAATCTCGACCCGGAGCCCGGCCCTGCCTGGGCTCCACCCCTACATCAAAGTAGGAAAAAATATACCAAGTCATATATTGAGAAATAGGTCATGTTTTAGTTTATGAGAGATAATTTTCTCTTTATTTTACATACAAGTAATATCAAACTCACACATGCTTGTTAACCATATTTAGGGAATAAAAGCGTATACTCCCTCCATCCCTAAATTTACTTCCAACTTTCCCTTTTCGTCCGTCCCAAAAAGAACTTCACTTTCCCTTTTTGGCAAAGAATTTGTGGTTCACAACATTTCTCTCTCTACTGCACAACTCTCCATCACACAATTCTCACTTTCTTAATCACCGTGCCACTTTAATTTGGAAGAACATTTAGGGACGGAGGGAGTATAAGTTTAGTACCAGAGACTGCCTTATGGTAAGAATCATACTCGATTGATATTTGTCCTATTCCTTTGGTCTAGTATAAGGGATGGGAACCCGCACGGGTAGCTCAATTATTCGAGTGGTGGGAAAATTGGACCAAGTGACCAAGGTTTGAAACCCGCAACGGCCGTGTGGAGGTTACAGAATCTGAAATAAGGCTGGACCTCTGGTGCGCACGTGTATAAGGCCTACCGCCGCTTTGCTGACTGAGTCACCGTGATTAACCTCCCCACCATCCTGTCGGGTCGGGATGGGGTGGGGTGGGGGGGGGGGGGGGCTTGGGGTTGGGCATTCAACCTTTTGGACCAAGCTAGTATAAGGGATGGGACCGAAATGAGATGGCTTTTTAATCGAAATCGATCCAGAGGGGCTTAGGTTCTAGGTTCTGGTGACCTAAATTAGGGACTAGAATTGGCTGACCTAGTCTCATTTTTAATTCTTGGTCCAAAAGGTTGAATGCCCAACCCCAAGGCCCTCCACCCCGACCCGACAGGATAGTGGGGAGGTTAATCACGGTGTCTCATTTTTAATTCTTTTTTCTACTAATTGAAACCGATCCAGACGGTTTTCTTGCACTAATAAAAATGTTGTTTTCCCATCATCCCTAAGTGAAAATGGGAAAAGCATCAACCTCACCTGATCATTAGCCACCCCAGAGATCATGAAAGTCTAGCACATCCTTAGAAAACGGGTAATGTGTGCCACAGGGTCTTGAGTCGGCCCTCCTCCAAATTGGTTGTTGGAAACCATGTTAATCACCGCCGGCTTGATCTCGTAACGGTTAACAATAATATCTGACACTTGAACGCTATCGTACTCAGAAATTTCTGGCATGAGGAATTTTGCTATCTTTTGCCCTAAGGTATAGAGGGCTGTTGTGCGGGACATAGGCTTGGAATGGCGGGGGGGGGGGGGGTGAGGTCTGGCTTATGGGACTGATCTTGTTTGAGCAGGATGTACCTACCACTTGTTTTGGAACCGATTTTGAAAATGTAGCTGATTTTGGAATGGATTCTGGAAATTTGTGTTCAGAATGTTCTGACCTGCTCCTTGTAACCTAAAAGTTTGTTTTGGAAAAGGAACTTCAGGAGCAGTGGTGGTGGTGTTTCGGAAGAGTTGATATAACGGAGGAAGGTTGAGTTGTGGAGTTTGATTTTTTTGGGGAAAGTAAGGAGGAGGGCGATAATTTTGGAACTAGGGGATGGTTTCTCGATGAAAGTGGTGGTGTGTCTTGAGGTGAAATGTTAATATAAAAGTCGGATTATGTGGTGGTGTGTCCCAGCGGTTCCAGATGATGATGATGGCTCCATGGTTATTCCTTGCTCTCGTTGAGCCTTCCGATTTCGCCTGGCGAGCTTTTCTATCTCAAGATTAAGAAGGATAAGTGGTTCTCCCCTCTTTGAACGTGTATGAATAAACAAATTTAACCTGCAAGGTTAGAACAGGAAAAATCCTATGAAAAACTAAAACAAGTCGCTGAAATTAATTAACCCTTAAAACCGACACCGTCCCCGGCGACGGCGCCAAAAATTGATCTTAGTTTTCTCACACTAATAAAAATGTAGTAGTAAAGGGTTTAACACAAGTATCGTCTCCAAAGGGATGGAAAA